CACCTCACGGATCTGAGTTCCCACTGTTGCTGTAACCTGCGCCACGAATTTGATGACCCTCCTCTTCCGAGGCCCCTTATCGGATCTTATCAACTGTTATCAGCTTCTGCCAGCCCCACCCTACGGCATATCAGTACTTGAAATCATGGTCCCGCCGTTGCTGCAACTTGCCACGAATTCGGTCACCCTCCCCTTTTAAGGCCCCTTATCGAATCTTATCAAGTGTTATCACCTCCTGTCACCCACAAAAGTGTTCCCGTCCTGCCATGTATATCACTTCTTGAAATCACGGTCCCGCAGCTGCTGCAACTTGCGCTAGATGTTGGTCACCCCCCCTTCTAAGGCCCCTTATCGAATCTTATCAAGTGTCATCACCTCCTGTCACCCATCAAAAGTGTTCCCGTCCTGCCATGTATATCACTCCTTGAAATCACGGTCCCGCAGCTGCTGCAACTTGCGCTAGATGTTGGTCACCCCCCAACCTTCTAAGGCCCCGTTATCGATCTTCTCAAGTGTCATCAACCTCCTGTTCCGCACGCACTGAAGTGTTCCCGTCCTGCCATGTGTATATCACTTCTTGAAATCACGGTCCCGCAGCTGCTGCAACTTGCGCTAGATGTTGGTCACCCCCCTTCTAAGGCCCCTTATCGAATCTTATCAAGTGTTATCACCTCCTGTCACGCACCTAAAGTGTTCCCGTCCTGCCATGTATATCACTTCTTGAAATCACGGTCCTGCAGCTGCTGCAAATTGCGCTACGATTTCGGTCACCCTCCCCTTCTAAGGCCCCTTATCGAATCTTATCAAGTGTCATCACCTCCTGTCACCCATCAAAAGTGTTCCCGTCCTGCCATGTATATCACTCCTTGAAATCACGGTCCCACACCTGCTGCAACTTGCGCTACGAATTCAGTCACCCTCCCCTTCTACGGCCCCTTATCGTATCTTATCAAGTGTTATCACCTCCTGACACCCACCAAAAGTGTTCCCGTCCTGCCATGTATATCACTTCTTGGAACTGTCATCCTATCTTTTCTGCGACGCTCGCTATGAATTTCGTGACACACACACACACACACACACACACACACACACACACACACACACACATAGCGGATTATATATAGTAGGATTAGTTGTCCGGAAAGTTCTCAGCGTTTTGTGTTACTATTTTTGTACATTCATTGCTGATTAAAAACTCATTCTCCCTTGCGTCTCAGTAGTACATCCTGAAGAGAATTTTTGCGCTATCTGATGGTATAATTGCCGTTTCACCATTGCTTGATAAACCCCCTTTTCCCAAGACTTTTTGAAGCATGTCAAAAGAGCAACTTCGGACGATATTTTTCTTCAACTACAAATTGGGTCAATCCGCAGTCGAGACAGCTCGACAAATTAACCAGGTGTGGGGGGCCCAATAGTGTTGGGCTAATCCCTGTTGCGGACGGTCTGAAATTGGGATTTTGGGACATTGGGAAGGTGAAAAAACTCGACAAGTGGGTGCCCCACAATTTGAGTGACCGGCAGAAATTGGCACGTCTCGAGGTTTCTTCTCACTGCTTTTGCGCAACAGAAACGACCCGTTTTTGGACCGAATTGTCACCTGTGATGAAAAGTGGATCATGTATGATAACAGGAGACGTTCCGGACAGTGGTTGGATGCCGACGAACCACCGAGGCAATTTCCAAAGCCGAATCCTCACGAAAAAAAAATTATGGTCACAGTGTGGTGGTCATCGGCTGTGATCCACTATAACTTTTTGTCACCAGGCCAAACCATCACAGCAGAGTCCTACTGTGAAGAAATCGACGAAATGTACCGAAAATTGCGTCAGCTGCAGCCAGCACTTGTCAACAGAAAGGTCCGATTCTTTTGCATGACAACGCCCGCCCACACGTTTCACAAATCACTATCCATAAATTGAACGAATTGGGGTTGAAGTTCTACCTCACCCGCCATATTCTCCAGACCTTTCACCAACCGACTTTTCAACATTTTCAGAACTTCCTTGCTGGAAAATACTTCATCAATCAGGACCAGGCAAAAAAGGCCTACATGGACTTCGTGGATTCTCTACCACCCAGTTTTTTCTTTTGATGGGATTTATCGAATGGTGTCACATTGGCAAAAGTGTGCTGATTCGAACGGTGCTTATTTCGATTAAATCCGATGAGTATTAAGAAAGTTATGATCGTTTAAAGTGAAACACTCAAAACGCTGAGAACTTTTGACCCACAAGTAATGACGCTCTTTACAACTTGAAATTCTGCGCTGAATACAAAACGTTTCATTCATGACTTCTACATAATGTGATAGACAATATTTCATGCAATAAGAAAGCGTACTGAATTTCTTTTGAATATTCGTTTTCCATTCATTCTCGAGTGCTTAAAGTGGAGTGTCAACTTGAGCACTTTCGCCATCGTTCCTTCTATGCAATTGCACCAGTTTCACTTCAAATTCACTACTTTTCGAACCAAACTAAAGATTCAGTTACCCTTACCTTTCTGGACACTACTGCAAGTCCCGCCCTACGGCCACGCCCACATTTCAGCGTGGTCGTGATTTTTCAAACTTATTTTACAACTTCTGCTTCTGTGACTCTCTTGCGCTTCTGTTATTTCGCACATACACACTGGCTGAAACGAACCGTACATTGTCACATGGGCAACTCCGCCCACATTTTAAAGTATTTGTTGCTTCGTTGAACTTCGAATTTTCTTAACTTTTTTTCAACTTTGATACTTTCATATCCTTTCTTCGCCAGAACGGTGATGCTCATGGACGCACATTTATGCGCCAACACACTAAGCCCTACTCTCTGACCACGTCAACTTTTGCCTTTTTTTCTTCTTTTCATACTACTTTTTTGGCATTTTTGCATTCTAGGGTCTCCGTTCATCACGTACGAACAAACTTGGTTGAGTTGAGTTTGTTCCGAGGACGAGCAGGACCTGACATGCCAGTTCAGACTCTAAAATGCAAATTTGCATCGCTTTTGAAGAGTTTGCGAAGCTTCTCGAAGTGGGCGGAGCTTTCTCATATGTGTGCGGGATTTCACGTAGCCGTCCAAAAATACGAAAATTTCGAAAAATATCCAAAATTCCTCAAAACCGGAAGTGCTCATGGAGCGAAGCCTAATGTGCGTGTAAGAGTACCTTCGTTGTATGTAGGGCGCTCCAGAAGGCTGTGGCGGAGTTTTATAATAGTATTTAATATGCTCTTTAATATGGTGGTAGAAATGTTCCGATTAGAATTTATAAAGTGTAACTTATAGCGCCACGAAAGTCAATGAAGAAAAGTGACTTTTTTTTGCCCCCCAGTATGTATCGAATGGGCTAGTGTCCAGTGAGGCAGCACTGCAATCTTACCTTCTTCGAGAGATTCTGGCACGCGACCGCGATGTGGTGCCTGAGATCAGCGAGATAGTCGATTTCTCCGCCACCGTAGACCACCCTATTGAACTCCGCCCGAACCGGGTAACTGAGGGGATTCAGGTCAGGTGACCTACTTGGATATTCCATCTTCTTTAGGTACTCAGCCCCTTCCATTCCAAGTAGGCGAGAGTTTCTCCAACGCCCTTCGATTCCACGTGGTGGCACCCAATGCTGTAGCAGTACAAAGTTTCCAAGAAGGTACGGGCGACGACATGTGGGGATATTCTTCTCGAGTTGCTCGATGTAACCGCCAGCGCTCACCTTCAGTCCGGGGTCCACGAAGAAAATATTGGTCTTTCCATTCCAGGTACCTCCGGTCCATACCATCAACCCGCTCCTGTGAAGATGATGTCCTAGACCGTAGCGACGTTGTCGGAGCTGCTCGATGTTGGAGGTCTTCCAGATCGAGAGTACTGGTCTCCAGGTAGCTGGGTGACTCCACACTAGAAGTTTCGCAGCTGTTTGGAGGTGACATGAATTCCAAAGGTCTTCTCCAGTCAGGCTGCGACTGGAGATGACCTCATATTTTGGTGTACATGAAGGTGATGGGCGAGGGCCAGCTCCTATCGAGGAACATCTTGGGTATCTTCCGCCCTGGTACTCGTATCCACGTCTTCTCTCTGGGCTGCGAAAACTTTGCTGATATGTGACTCGGTCGAAGTGACTTTTTTGCCCCCCCTGTATACAACCAAGAAGCGACGCCCTTAGAATTACATAAATGGGTGAAGCAAATGAAAAATTTTAGTTTCGACCTCACGAATAAGATGAAACAACCACGAACAAAATTTGATGTGTCTTCCCTATATTCACAGTACAAGTAAATATGTGAAGCTTCAGAGTCTGATACTAATTCCCTAATGTGAGCCTTAAAGGCATATGGCACGATAATTTGGTACTCGGTCTGAAATGCTGCCAATGCAGGATGCTATATAATGGGGAAAATAGCGAAAAAACGAAGTGAAACGGTCAAAAATCTGCGCGAAGACCTTCTGTACTTCATGACTCAGAAAGTAATTTTGGACGAGTTGCCCATAAGGCGTCCAACAACGCTAAAGTACTGCCCCACGTGCACGTATGTACTCAGACTTCGATGCAAGCAATGCGAGCATCAGGTACAGGTCGTTCCACTTGGGAGGGCGGCGCCAGTAGGCGTCCGGGTCGGTATGTTGCAGCTTGATAGCGCCTTATAAGGGTACCTCCTTTGGAAAAGGCTTTACGCTGCTCAGGGGCGCGGAGTTCTGTCCTGCCAGGTGTATTAATCCCACTCGTCTTTGAAGATTTGTCGTGCCAACTGCCTTCAAGTAAAGTATGAATACGTGATTGTAAGGAGTGGAAACGTCGGTCAGTTTATGGGTCCAGTCTTTCCTGAAGTTGAGAAAAACATACCTGGTCCAGTCGACTGCCTTCCCTTCTCGTCAGTAGCTAATCTTGCTGGGAAACGGTGCTTGAATTCCAAGTGGGAATAAATTATTAGAAATTTTTCCTAAATTAAACAGGACAGAGAGCATCTTCAGGCTATTCTCGTTGATATTGCTATCGTGGCCGCTGCGAATCTACGCCGAATGTCGAACAGCGATGCTCAACTATCAGGTCACCAAACTCTTTGGCACCTGCTACCTGAGGTTCGTTCTTTACTTTAGAAAAGCGAATCTGACATTGGTGTTCTGGGGGTGAAACTACCCCGGGAGAAACTCGATGAAATCTAGTGGCCTGAGCTTCAAAGAATGAGGTAGTAGTAAGTACTTACACCGCTGGCTATCAATGACCCCTCTCTAATTGTGCTCTCTTCTCTTCGGGCTCGTTTTGAATTCCTAAGTTTAATGTCCAGACTCTTGACTCCTTATTGATACGGCACTATCCGAACAATTACTTGAACCCTGAGCGCTACTGGGGCTCTTAATTTTCTTTGTGCCGACGTGCCGCTTTTCAACTTTTTGAGCAGGCAATGAATCAAAAGTGCCTGCGTGAGAAAGTAGAATTAATGTCCTCTCCTGACTCGGAGGAATGGAAGTTTTTGAGGCCTCCAAAGAGCGACTACTTGAAGAGCTCTGCCATCAGTATGCAAATGTACTCTGTAGGCGAAAAGCGATATGAGCGCTGTTGGCGTTAGTTGATGCTTGTTTTCAGAATGTCCATCCCTGTCTCATTTTTCATCCGCCATCCGTGTCTGTTCCACTCCGCTGGATGTAGTACATCCCCGTACCAGCCAACACTTTTCAAGGAAAGTGCCAGTGGGGGATCGGATTGCATCAGGCCCTTTCAAAAAAGGTTTCGGATTGTATTCAATTCGTTTCTGAGGTTCTCCTAATTTAGCCATTAACTAGCTCGTGTGTCCCAGAGTAACCTACTTGTCACTTGTCTGGGTAACATTAGCTGCTCAGAGCCCTTCAGATCATAGACCTCATAGCTTTCTATTTCTAGTTGGGAGAATTTCATAGGTAAACAACATGCCGGGTTCTGAACCATGAGGTCTAATATTCAGAAAGCGGCAATAGACAATGAATACTAATACTATTTATTGAAACGAATGCTTCCTAGTGAGAACCAACACCGGGTCCAACTGGGAGCTGTAGAGTAAGGGAGAAAGGGTAAAGTCCTCGCCGTTGATTAGATTCTGGGGCGAGCGAGTAGGCTTCAAGTTAGGGTTCTGAAAGGATGAGAATCGGGATCTTCCTCGTGACACGACGCAAAGGTCATTCTCCTCGTTAGGTAAATGAATGAAGTCTACTCGTCAAATGGAGTCTACCCGTAAAGTCGTCCTTGTCCTTGGTCCAGAGCGGAGTACTTGAAAAGAGACGACTAGAGCACTAAGATTTGCCGAAACTTAACCCCCAATTAGAAAATTTGTGACGAATTAAGTTGTCAGGTCATGTTGAACGGAGTAAGTAGGAAGAAGAGAAAAGTAAGTGAAAGTTTTTTTGAAACTCAACTTGCACCGTACTATCCGTATACCTAAATGATATCACGTTAATCACTGGAAGAGTCCCTGAATTGCGTGGTGTGGAATGATCCTGAAAATATGAAGTTGTACTAAATCCGCTGAAATTCCCCTTGTAGGTTGTACAAGTAACTGCCACAAAAAAGGGTGGGGGAGTTATAGTGGCAAGTACAGTCGCTGAACAAGGCGCGCTCCAGGGTGAAATCTTAGATCTGCTGACACCTCTATTCCAGACAAGCCCTTCATCTCCCGGAACAGGCTAGTTTGTACCGGACTTGTCTCTGGGGGATAGAAACACCAATCTGCACATCGGCATTATTTTCCTTAGAGAAGACTCGGCGGCGCACCTCTAGAAAGGATTCCGAAATTCTGTCAATCACCATCAGTTCGCGGACTAAAAGTGCCAAAAGTGCAGTAATTTACACTATGGAGTGCTACAATAATGTCTTAGTTAGGGTCTACTATATGGCCCATCCCAGCAGTGGTGGTAGGCCTAAGGTTTATGCTCTCCATTGCAGGATTTCGAACGACGTTGTCTGAATTTACATGCAACCCTACCTCTACTGGCAGCTTGAACCACTGCTTCACTCAATGAACCACATTTCAAGAATTTCCCGTTTCAGCCCATCGTCTGTAAATTATACGGGTCCGTTGACGCGCACCTCGACGATGGAGACGGTAGAACTCGAAGCAGCACTGGGCAGAGAACAGTACTTTGTCGTCCCTTCGTATTCGGAAGCTATGCTGATGCCACACGCAACAGTGGTAAGTCCTAATAATTTTTTATGGTTCCTTCTTATGAAAATGCTCCACTTTTCAGACCCTCGTGGATCCCTCAGAAGCTCGGGTATTTTCACACCCTCTACCAGTGAACAACGAGCAAGTCGTGTTGCGGAATTACGGGGCACTGGACGATGATCTCGGTCACTTACCAGCCGGAAGACCTATACGACCCCTCAGCGGCAGTCGCAGCATGAACTTCATGCAGGCTATGAGAAGGTACTGTACAGTACTTTTTGAGCATTATTACTGTGTTATCCCAAAAGTTTTGCAACAATTTTTACACTTTCTTCAGGAAAATTTGAATTCTTTGTTTGTAGATACTAACTAACAACTCAGTGACCTTAAAATTGTGCTGTCCCGGAGCCTCATTGCAATCTGAATGTTGAACACATAAAAGAGGCGCCAAAATTTATTGCGAAAGACTCAAAAGATCAAATTTTTTGAGTCTTTTGCAATAAATTTTGGCGCCTCATTTATGTGTTTAACTCAGTGACCATCACGATGCCCCGAGTATGTTCGACGCTACTCAGGCTGTCTTTTTCAGAAGTCAAGGGTCAGATACCGGAGACCAGAGTCCGAACTCTGGCGACTGGAAGTCGAAGAAGCGCGTAATCTCATATTCGAGCTCTCACTTGTCATCGAGTTTCTTTTCTCATAGATGCAGTTTCCAACCCAAAATAGATGGTGGGAGATCGTGAAAAATTTTTCGTCAAGTAGAGCAACATATCTTCCTTTCTCCCCAGACGAACAGCATCAACCAGTTTCTGAAGTTGAGAAGATTGGCCTCCAGAGACCACGTTGTACCATGATGTAGCAATTCATACAACATCCTTGGAGTCATCATCAACAATACAGCAGACTGTTCTTTCGTGCTACTTCCTTTTGGCTTTTGGAAGCGGTTAATCGTGAGAACAACAACTGTTCTCCTATGTACGGTTAGTACCCAACTCTTCACTTCTGCTCTGGAATGGCTTCCCTGCGTGGCGCAAAAGCAAGAATTGGCATTTATAGCTCATGTCGTCGCAATCAGAAGGGCTGTGTCAGAAGAGGAGGAATGAGCTTGCCAACGAGTGCCCAAT